ACACCGGGACGGGTAAACCGAACTCCATATCTTCCGATGACTGGAGAGCTATGTCGCTCATGGCGCGGAGGATCTACGTCAGCACTGAAAGAGAGCTCGAAGTTAAAAAGTCTCGCTCCAACACCGGCGGCGGTCCTCCTGGCGCTCCAGCCACGTCAGCTAAATCACTTCTCATCAAGTTCGCTTGTGAGGCCGACTCTACGCTCGTGTGCACAAGGGTTCCTTTGGGACAGGGAGGTTAGGAGACTGATCGAAATTGTCAAAGAGAACCCAAAGTGCGCTCAAGCTTATATGAAGCGATCTCACGTGTTCGAGCCTCATATGCTTTTAGCAGAGGGACCCCGAGGTCGGCAACATAATAGTCGCCCTTCCATTTTCCCCCAGGTTCGAGCCTGTAACCAAGGAAGACACCAGGTTTCGCAACTGGCGCGAACTTGGGAGCTTTGTACTGATCCTGTTCTTCACCAGGAACAGCAGGAGCAACACTAGATTCGTCTTCGACAAAATCGGCGAAGGGATCGTAAGCAGTCACGCAGAGCATCCTCGATTTCCTCTGCTGACATAGGTTCGTACTCTTCATCAGAGAGGGCAATGCCTTCCTTCGAGGTCTCGCCCCATTTCTCAAGGGCATGAACGTCAACTTGAAAGTACGCTTCACCGATCCAATCTTGCGACTGATCCTCTCTTGGATCACTCAGGTTTCTCCATGTGTCGGACTGAATGGAGTCATTCTCACCGTTGAGATACTTTATGGTCGAGAGGGTCTCGTCGGCGAGGAAATCAACGTCGATAGGGCAGTTAGAGCCTCTTGGATCAAAGAGTTTCTTTCTGGGCGTCCTGTGTATGCGGATAACGCACTCGTTCTCTTCATCTTTAATCCAGTAGCCGGCGTCAGCGCAATCATTTCGAACTTCGGGAGCGTTTTTGACCCCCCCCCTTTTCAACTCGACGCGGTTTGGGAGCGACGGGGAAGAAATCAACCAGGCAACCGAAGGGAAGAAGCTTGCCATTGAAAGGTAGGGGATCGTGTCTCTTAGACCAAGCACTTCCACCGCCTCGGTTTTCAATGTTTTCTAGCTACAGCAAAGTACTTTGTTGCATAGGGCCACCAACGAGCTTCTAACCCGGCTTGGCGCAACAGTACACGTGCACCATGAAGTACTAACTTGACCTTATTCTCGATGATGCCATTGGTCTTTGGCATCCCCGGAGTAGACCATTCGTGAATCCTTCGCAATTCCTTGCAAGCACTGACAAGCTCTTTAGCTTGATCAGCGTGCATCATTTTGATGTCATTGTGAGGCCCGGCAAAGCGATTAAAGGCGTCGACGGTATTGGCGTCAGAGCGGCTCATCACGGGCATGACATCGATCCATGAAGTGGCAAGGTCGTAGAAGACGATAGCATCGGCCTCTCCGTTGATACCCCTGTCCCGTAGGCCTCGCAAAACCATAGTGTCAGCGGTGACGAGATCGCCAAAATCTTCGGCTCCGTGACCAGCGGCACCCTTTTTCCGGAATAGTCTTACGTTCTCCATCTTGGCAAGTTGGCAGTGAGAGCAAAAAGGGTTCTCCGGAAGGTGGGCCATCATATGGCGGAGGGTCAAAGCGTCAGCCTTCCAGTCCTCAGCGCTTGACCTTCGAGTTCAGCAACATCGCCATCGGAATCAGGGTCAGGAGGATCAGGGCGGAGTTCTGGAGCTGCAGGCCCGTCAGCGGAGGCCCGGAAGGTTCATCCCCGGGAAGCGCAGAGGGGGCAGGAACGGCAGGAATGTCGGGAGACGGACCAACTGATGACGGACTAAAGTTGCAGCGTGAAGCAGGTAAGTACGGAACGTTATTCAGAACGTCCAGCACGATCTCTTTACCTCCAGGCCCCTGAAGTACAGGAAGTTCGCCAGCAGGCCAGGTGAAGGTGTAACCCTGTTCCATGCATCGTTTGCCAATTGAGATGAGCGAGGGCGTGTTCTGCATGACATGGGCATCAATCATTTCGTCGATGTCCTGCATATCGGCTGCAATGCTTCCAAGTGTTGATGCCGTACCATTGGCAGTTTGCAGAGCGTGGGTACGTCCAGTCTTTTTGACCAGACTTCGCTCGCCTGCGCTTTCATTTAGTCCAACAAGATCGATGGGGCAGCCAGTATCAGCAAGCCAGCGAATTGATCACTCGTGCCCAGGAGCGGAAGGAGTAGAGGACACGCGCGATGCTCTATACATCATGCGCCTTCGAATCGGTTTAGATTCGAGGTACTCACCCTCCTGATCAATGGCAACCTGTTCCTGCATGGACAGCGCCCGGAGAATAGCCTTCTCGGTCTGCCGTTCTAGTGATTTTCGAGGCATTCTTGAATTCTCCGGAGTGGGTATATGAAGGGTTGCGCGATTTCTGAGACTTTTTCATGGGGTTGTCGTCAGCAATAACGATATACTCCATCATAGCAGAGTCATTGATCTGAACTGTCCGGTTGTGCTCGTCGGTGTAGACGTTCGGACGCATCAATGCGTTCCAGGCGGCGCGTTTGACAGGATCAGTGTACGACCAAAATGTCGTTCTGACGTCACCGGTGAAACCGATAGGGCAGAACATCCGATTGCGCGAAATGACGGGAAGGTCCTGGATTACCTGCCCATCAGGGAGGGAAACGGTTCTTCTCCATACCACGTGTTGTAGGTTAGGGCCACCACCTGTGGGACCTTGAAACATGCAAACACGGTGATCAGTTCTAGAACGTTCTAGAACACTCTTGTGCGTCAGCAGGAGGAGAGCGCTCAGGGAGGCCATCAGATAGCGTGCTTGCCAAGCCACCGTGGTTGCTCTTGGTCGCAGGGCATGCAAGCAGCACCGCCGACAAGGCCTGTGGGTAACGGCCCGCCCCTCTCAGAAACCCTCATCAACCCCGGGGGCAGGACTGTCTATCCGCCCATCAGGGTAAGAACCGGACGGGTCACCGCTCAATAGCAGGGGCGCCAGGTTTCTTGGGGAGTGGAGCAAGGTCAGGGAGCGGCTTCTCATGCTTATACGTGCATTTGGCACGCGTGCATTCAACCACTCCCTGCAAAACCCCGGATACATGGGCGTCGTCATCGCGGGGTGACTTCGGCTTCTCCTCATGGTGCGAGAAACGGCAGTCAGAGCCGCGCCTGCACTGTCCCTTCTGCCAGTCATGACATACGCCAGGAGCAGCAGGTTGCTCACGGCGGCGATCTCTTCCAGGAGAAGCACGATCCCTACTGCTGCGTCTGGGGTCTTCAGACCGCGTTTTTCCGTGATGCTGCTCATTCGATCTCCCGTCCCTCCACTGTGAGTTAGGCGAAGGTCGGTGATCACCGCCATTCCCAGTCTTCCGTGTCGCACCCCAGGAGCAATTGCGTTCAGTGTGAGGCGACCGAGAATACATCCGGTCCTTTATTTCGGAAACGTTGTAACGCGTCCTCCACCTCGACACAGCGTTGCGAGCTGCCTTCATGATCCAGTCGTAATTTTGTACGTCAGGATTACGATCCCAGTGCTGCACGTCAGGCAGCAGGCATGGTGAATGCCGTACCTGTTCAAAGAAGACGTGCTGGAGGACGTGGTGATCTATCGGCGCAGTGATGCCGCCGAGGAGTCCTTCCCATTTGTCAAGGAATTTCTCGAGTTGGGGCTCACCGGATCCAGCGGCTCTGCCAAGGGAAAGGCGAAGAAGTTCATTGGTGCGAATCGATTGGCTTCCGACCTCGTCAGGACGAAGGTATTCAATCAAGGAGAAGAGGATCCGGCGACTCTTCAGCCTAGTCCCCCTTTTTACCTGAGCCTCCTCAGTCAGCCTGCTGATTTTGGCAACAATGGGCTTCGATGTAATGCACTTCCTTAGCGCAGCGTTGAACCTGTTGTCAAGGATCGGATAGAGGCACTCATCATCAAGTTCTTCTATGGTACTGGCGTTCTCAACACTCGTGACTCGTAACCCAAGACATGGCGTATGGCGAGTCATAGCTGAATGCGTTGCTCACGATTTCTCGAGTGGAGATGATCCAGTCTCGCAGCTCATGTGGCGCAGGCTCTTTTTCGAGCTCTATGTTGGCACACTTGTTTGCCTCAGAGGGCAGTGAGGATAAGGGTGGTCGAGTAGCCTGCCCGAAAACATGGGGAGGGAGAATGCCATCCCTGCCAATGGATATGGCACAGAGAGAACAGCTCCCCGATGAAGCGGCACACAAGGATGTACGGGCACAGCGAGCAAGTCTGAAAGCAGGGAGGTGTTCCAGGGACGTGGGACTTGACGTTGATGTTGCAACGGGGGCATACCCTTTTTTCGGCAGACGATCGTCGAATATCGGGATTTCCAATGCCACCGTCACCGTTGTCGCCGTGCGGATTCTTACCGAGCCCCGGGGGAAGAGAGAACCCAGTTAGCGAAAACAGGATATTGCAATTCACAACCAAACCCAAGAGGTCCACGCCGAAGAACCCTAACACCACCTAGTACCGGTAGGCCACGGCCCCAAGCCCCTACGACTCGAGGACGAAGACGACCGACGTACTATGGCGCCAGCACGGTTTTCCGCAGACAGTTGACGGGAGGTTGAAAATCTTGAGCCAAACGGCCATTCGGCCGGTTTGCTATATGAAGAAACAACACGTGAACAAAACACAAAAACAAAACAAACAAAACAAAACAAAACCAACCAACCAACCAAACAAACAAACAAACAAACACACAAACAAAGACGTGCAAAGGGGGACCGACTGCTGCAAAGCAAACGAGAAGGACAAGCAATGGTTCAGATCAGTCCAGGATGCAGTACGCGCGTTAGGTCGTATGCCGCTCAGCACCTTGCCAAGTGCAACACGCATCAACACTTCGAGAAGAACCTTCTCTTCAATCAAGGCCCGGGAAAGGCCATCCGCGTTTTGTAGAGAACGGGTAAAGGGGTCCTTTTCAAAATTTCCCCTGGTAGGCGCCGAGAACGGCGCCTCTTGTGCAGGTACCCAACAGCGTAGCAAGCAGTCTTTTTGGCCACAAAAATCACCAGCAGTATGGATGCTTAAATCAGTACCACTCTGTTGGCTTGAGGCTCCACATTGGCCGGTGGCACGCATGTTTTGCGAGCGGTCCATGTGGAACTCAGTTGCCAGGACCAAAAAGGCGAAACTAAAAGGTCGGCTTTGGGTAAGTGAGCGAAGATTACTTCAACGTGAAACCACCCAGGGGCTTAAAGTTGTACGAGTGCCGAGGGCCTGAAGTTCAAAATCACATGCAGGTCCCCCAGGCTTGTCCTCGACAATTGCATAATCCCCGAGATTTCAATGGTGCGGGGCACGCAAAAAAGGGGCATGCGCTCAAAGCTCACCATGTTGTCTGGCAAGTCCTGGCATTGCTTCGCCTGCCGCCATAGCCTCATGCACAGCTCCAGCGTGTAGTTGTAGACGAAGACTTCTGACAGGCTCCGCCCAATCAAAGAAGTCAAGGGAGCGGAAGCGGCACAGACCTGCATGGCTTGAACATCGAGGTCCAGGAAAATGTTCTTACCCTGGAGAGCCACCGCTTGCTCCACAATTCTACAGCCGCTCGAGTCCATGTCCTCAGACAAGTCGAGTGCATCGGAATGCCCACGCAGGCAGCTGAGACCCTCGTAAAGCTCAAGCTGCTCTCTGTCCGTGTCGTGAATGGCATCAGCTGCCTTGTTTCCAGCCAGGGATTGCAAGTCCGTGAACTCGCGCAGGCCAATGAGATGGCGGGTCTGCCCGCTTGGCAGTTGGTACTTGACTTGAAACACCTCGGTGCGAAACTTGCTGGCGCAACTGTCCACCAAATGTGTGTGAAACGCCTGCGCAACGGAGCTGGATCCGTGGGATCCGGAGTACTGAAGAATCTCTTCTGCCCTCGCTGCCTCATCTCTTGCAACGAATTCGGAGAACCGCAAGCCTTGGTCCGGCTCAAGGGACGGGGAACAATTAAACGCTAGAAGGGTCCCACAGTGGAAACAAACACCATCCAACGTGACGTCTTCGCGGAGAACTTATTGCAGTTGCTGCTATGCCGCATGTGCCAAAGGGAAAATCAATGATCAAGCAGAATGACACATCTTGGGTTACAAAAAAAAGGCCATCCCCACCACCACCAGAACTAGAACCAGAACCGCTAGCAGACATTGAAGGCGCGCCTTGAGTGGAAAAGCCACCTCGCAGGAGCATGGCGGCCAACTTGGGGCAGTGCTCTGTGAGCCTCAAGTCAGCGTCCAGCTCCATCACTGCCTCGCAGGTCAGCTGCAGCAAGCCAGAGGCAGCATCCAGCTGGGAGGAGACGTGGTTTTCACGCAGTCGCGCTGCAACTCTTTGTTCGAAGGAATTGTAGAGGAAGTGGACTAGGATGCCTGTCAGATCGGGCAAGTTCCGAATTGCTTCACGAACCACAAAGGATCGCACAGAAGACAACCACGCAGGCCAAACAAAGTGCACTTCTGTTTGGTCTTTGCACCAACCTCGCACCCTCTGGGCATCGAAGTAGACTCAGCAAACCTCTTTGCTTTACTGGGGGAGAGATGTTGCGGAATTGGCCAAACCTATTTTCAGCCACAAACAGCTCATGGCCTTTCACTGTCAAGTCCCACCCGCGCAAATTATGCGCCTACACAAGCAGCCATGATGATCTCGGCTCCGACGAGCGTGCCCGGGTTCTCGAAGATGGTGCCGGCAGAATCTTCCGCGTCGCCGAGCAGCGACCGCAGCACTACCATAACGACCACGCCCAAGTAAACCACGCATGCCATGAGCCAACTCTGGGCAAACAACAGACACGGCACCTCCGGGTCCAAAACAGGGCTCCCGTTTTTGACCCTTCTTGCTTTCAACCCAAGGGAGACCAAGCACGTAAAAGCAAGGCGTGTGCTTTCAACTTAGGGTGGGAAGATAAAACTTAGCAAATTCAGGGCCACTGAGTCATATGGTTTAGTAGCTTTGCTTTTCCACGACTAGATATTTTTTGGGCTCCGCCTGTATTGCCCCAAGGCAGAACAGCCGCACAGCAAACGCGGACGGCGCAACGCATCCGCCGGGGCTCAGCCAGACGGCCACAAAGACGTGGGACAGGAGGCAGCAGAGGTTCAGCGTGCGCACCGTCAAGATGCCGGGCAGCCAAGTTGCGACAAGGCAAAAGTTGTAGAACAACCCATTCCAAGTGGCCAAGGCTGTGAAGAAGCGTGGCCGTGGATTGCCGGTAAAGACGTTCCTCTGCAAATTAGAGAGCGAAACGCACAAGGTGCTTGCTCCGACAGAGGCGTAAGACTGCGCAAACTCCAGCTGCAACTGGGAGACCTGCTTGCGAAGGATCCGGTCTGACTCGCTTGGTTTTTGTGACAACTGACTCACTACGCCTCTGGCGAATCCCGGCAGCTCACAAATTGCCTTCGCGATGCGCCAGCGCCAAGGCCAAGCTTTCTGAAAGAACCTGACGACAAGCGCGAGCTGCAGCAGCGCGCAAGCAGCCAGGTGGGCCAAGTCGGCGGAGCCCAACATGCGGCTCAGAACTACAATTTGGGCGGCGCCTTGCAGATTCTGTTCGAGCCAAAAACTTTCGATTGGAATGATGCACTTTCAGCACTGACAAACCCCCCAAACCCGCGCGACACGCAGCGCGGGAAAAGCAGACGTTGGTTGAAAGGACGTTTCCGCACGGTGTGCCTCTAGATTTAGTGAGGATAAGCTGGTTGGCCCGCAACCTGTCTTGGCTTGTGCGTCAGGCCGGCATCGGCAAGCAATGCCTCATGCCCTCATGTCAAGCAATCTCATCTTGCATTCTTTCGGGGAATGCACTCCTGCAGCGTAGCATGGAACCCCGAAAACACATATCTTGATGATCTCTCCTTTTGGGGCATCCCTTGGTATTTGGGTCCGTAACCTGTGGTTCTTATGGAGGGGAGGGAAGCTCATTCTCGATGTCTTCAATGTTGGCCCGAATTAATGTACCCGGCCGGGAGTATGCATGCTTCTCATCCCCGGTCCCCGCCTCCTGGAGTGGAGAGATGAGACGCACCCATCTCTTGACCACACCCAAGGGGTGTCTTGGATGAATTTCTCACGTCCCACAGCTTTCATTTGAGTGAAACTGGCAGAGGTGAAGGCACAGAGATGATCCCGCCAGAGGAAGGGGCAATTACCTTCGCCATAGAAACTTGCCCCTTCCATTCAACGCGCAGACTACTTCCCAGGCACAGCAAATGTTTTCAAGTCGAACCAACACCGAGCCTTGGCCTAACTCCAAGGTGCACAAATTCTGGTCCATAGCTCTGCCTAGAGCAGATTCTGGCCTTGGATTTTTCAGATCTAGTAGATACATAAAAGAAAGTTGCACTCCGCCAAGAGACACCCTTCCGCCAATCTGGGAGTAGTTAAAGGGTGGCTTTCAACGGTTCCAAATGGTATCATTGGGATTTGCACTTCGTCGGAGTTTGGCACTCGGTCTAAGAGGAAACTAAACCCCGGGTGGGGGCGTTGATAATAACACAAAACAAAACAGCACGCAACTCGTTTCGACAAGGTTCATCGCTTTCCACTCAAACGATCCAGCGATCTTGTTTGATGGCAAGGAACGCAACTGAACCCCCAGTGGAATGTCACTGGAGCAAAGGGTCATATGCTTGACATTCTGCGACAACGTGGTGGTTGAAGTTGGTTCTGCCAATGCATGACCTAACGGCCCCAAAGTGTGCCGCCGTGTTGAAACAAGGCTGTGGTTCACAGAATGCCCCCGTTCAATTATCATGGTGACCACGCTATACCCGTTCGAACCCCCAAGTGAGCTCATCATAATCTAGGCAGGTGGATGCACGTGTTTGCGATTGTCTGACAAATCTATTGAGTCATGCCTTCTAATAATCGTATACAATTGGTGGGCCCGTTCCGAACAACTCGCATCATGTTTCCTTCATGTTCCCCTTTGCTGTGTTTTTCGGACCCATTGATCTCCATTCAACACCATTTTGGCTCAAGGATCTCATGTCACACACCAGATGTACGATCACTGAGCCATTGCATCCGTGATACAAAGGCGCTAGCGGACCACTTTCAGGTTAAACCACAGCACGCAATCAACCAGGGCTAATCCAGTATCAATCCATCAGCATTGACACTTGGACTCTCCGGAATAGATCCAGGGACCTACAGAATAAAGATCCTCTGCTACCACAAGGTATCGGTCCCCTTCGGGAAGATACCCCTGGCAGTGGGCCTCTGATTGTGGTAGCGGAGCGGGTTTTCCGCAGAGATCCAAGCCATGTAGGCCTATTCAAGTGTAGGCCGGCTTCACTGAAGAGACGCTCAATTTATCGATGACTGCCAAGCAGCCGCCATCTTACGACGGAAAAACCAGCTGGTTTAGATATGAAGAACTCGTAGATGATTGGGTGACCTTCACCACCAGCGAGGCATCCAGAGAGGACCACTCCGTAAGAGCAGACTCATCGGAGACGCTCACATGTACAAGGCAGTCCTCCAGAATGACCTTTTGCAAGATCCTGAAGAAGGAGTCAACTATTTCAAGAACACGCAGTTCTTGCAGAAGGGCTCGACGAACGTGTACTTATACAGACTTCTCAGTTTCTTCAACCACAGAAGGCAGAACACCGAGTTCCTCATATTCACATCAAAATTTGAGATTCTCTTGATGAGCTTGATGCCTGTTCACACGGTACAATCACCAGAGTTCATAGCATCAGTCAGAGCCACGCCTCCAGATCTGCTGCCTACAGACAATCCAGAAGTACTCAGGCAGTACCTCAACGGCACGCAGACAAGACACAAGGACGCATTTCCCCGCAGCGACAATCTCATTGCGCAGTTTTTCATCATCCAGAGTGGGTTGTCAGATCAGCAGAGAGAAAGACTGATCAGCGCAATGTCTTTGAGAACATCTCGATCGAGAATTACACCTATGAGATGATGAAGACTCAGTATCAGTATCATGATCAATACGACGAAGGTTTCTGGGTGGAAGATGAAGAATCATGGCAACCAATGATGAAGAGACTGTTTAGGTTTTGGAGGAGGATGATGCGTTCATGGCAAGGAAAGTGTCTGGGCAAAATTTCAGATTCAAGAAGAGAAAAGGAAAAGGAAAATCAGGAAGCAAAAGGGCAGTCACCAACGAGGTGGCTTCAAACCCTTTCGAAAAAGTGGCTCCGGCGGGAAGGCAAATATGGCCAACGAAAATCAGGATCCCTAGCACCAGGCATATTGGGGAAAAGGCAAAAGGAAAGAAGGGAAAAAGGAAAATCGAAATTCCAGTATCCCTAATGATGTAAACAAAGGTTATCCATCCTATGACAGTGGCAAAGGAAAAGGCGGACATGACAAAGGAAACTCCAAAACGTTTGCAGCCACGGCAGAGAATTCGGACGGGCAGTCCGCCAATCAGCAGATTGCACTATGCACAGAGCCTACATATGCCGGTCGGACAGACCAAGATTGGGATCCATCATGGTGGTACTCATCCCATGAGACATCCAGCACAGGACAAGCATTCCGTGACGCGTTTGAGCAGCATGAGAAAGAAGCCATCCACGAGAAGCTGATCCAAGATGATCTGGTACAGTTTCAGAACACAATTTGTCCGTCACAACAAAGCAGAGCCTTTTGGCAACAAAGCTGATGGCGCCTGTCATCAACCCTCAGCACAATCCGAGATATGCGATCCTGGACAATGAATGTACCAGATCCATGGGCAGCTGGAATGCAATCCAGCGTTTTACTCAGGCCGTCAAGCCCATGAAAGACCTCATCTCCTACCAGTACATTCCGGCCGAGGCCAAGTTCACATTTGCCAATAGAGAGAGGTAAGGTCAATTGGACCTTGCATCTCAAATGTCACACGACTCCTCCAGCCAGTACCAACATCAACATCCTTGAACAAGGCGCTGTACCGGTCCTCCCCAGCATCAGCCAGATGCACAACCATTCAGCACACACCTCAATGCAAAACTTTTAACATGACAAGCAGTTCCAGTATCCGGCACAGGACATGCGCTGGTCGATCTTGCTGGAGTGGCAAGAGTCTCACAAATTATGTCTACGACGATGACAACAGCATCAAGGTTTTTTCCGGGGACTACTCCCAGAGCCAAACTGTTTGCGCATCCAAATCGTCCGAGCACAACCATTGGGTCTCTAAAGCAGGATCATTGGATACTTGACAAGAAGAACAAGCAGCTCATCCGTGTGCGCCATCACGCCTCGCAAAATTGGAGCGAAGAAATGTCGAATCAATCCTGACAACATCAGCCGAGAACGTACAACAGAGATCATTGATGCATCCAAGGGCGGAGATCCAGACATCTTAGAAGACAATTGGAGACTTACATCCCAGGCGAACAAACCAGCCTGTGGATGGGTAAGACCATTTTCACCTTCGCAGACAACCCGCTAAAAGATGAAGAATCAGGTTCAGGATCTGCAGCAGACAGGATCATCGACAAGAAAGGCCGGTCAACCATTGAGCCAGATCCTATTGCACCATCCGCAGACGAACCGACATCGTTACCGCTTGCCTTAGGCAGAATCCACCAGCGATTGTCAAAGCCCGAAGAGTTGAAGAAGCTCCACCCTCAGCATCATCACACGACTACCGACCAATTGAAGCAAAACGAATGGACTTCGAGCGGACACATTTGGAGACATGGCATTCATTGATCATTGCCAGGTTCCTCTCGGAACTGGAGAACATATCATTGTTGTCATCCTGGATGGAGCAACGACATTGCTCACTGCGGAGGCAGTGACAACCACGCAGGAAGAGGAGAACATCACTGTCCTCAGGAACTATTTTGACAAGCACCACTTGCAGCCCATTTGTTGGAGATCAAGGCTTTGTGAACATTTCTATCAATCCCTCACCATCACACCAATATCGTTGGGACCGAATACACCATGGCCGACTGGAGATGAAGCAGCAGCTCGACTCTTGAAGGCACAGTACTCAACTCCATCAAGGCAGGCACAGCACCTGCAACACTGAAGAAGGTGACATACCGACAACTTGTGGGGCTGCAACTGTCAGAAATCAGACCGTCACCTACGCCTTTGGAACTCGCATTCGGACGACGACCAGCAGATCCCATCCAGCCTGATGTCGCAACTCCAACTCAATTGACGACTGACAGGAATGAGGAAGAGCTGACAGCCATCCAGATTAAGCAGTTGTCAAAACAAGCATTCCAAGAAGCTCGTCAATCCGAAGACATCCGCAGAGACCTTGCTCAGAGTGTCCGAATGAGTTCAAAACCTCTACAGGAGAATGACAAGGTATTTTACTGGGTTCCGACGGAAGCAAAGGAGGAATATGGTTCAAAGGAAAAGTCGTTTCTTTGGAAGGAGCAATGGTTGGACTTGACCTTGGACCCCGACTCATCAAAGTCAACATGACAAAGGTCAGGAAGTGAGCAAGAATCCTTGCAGAAAGAGCAAGGCGGATCCTCATCCAATTCCAAGAAGAAGTTTTCATTTACACCAACTCCCAAGCCATCAACCTCCAAACCATTACGCATTGCTGGAAAGACGACTCCCAAGCCTGCAGCACCAAGA